TTCTCCTTGTGCATTTTCCTACTTTTGACCATTTGCTGTATGTATCTCTACCCAATCACTGCAAACCAGGCTCTTTACAATAAGATATGTTGTCTTCCCTCACTTTGATTTTTTTGTGATGTTTCCTGTTTTTTCTTCATCTCCAAAGCCGTTTCAAACTTTTGCTTTGTTTACTTTTATATGTGTTTGAACTACGCGTAGCACTATCATATCTTTTCCTGAGCTATAATTTCAATTCGCTTCTTCTTGTTTGTATTCAAAATGTGGCTGTTGTGGAATAGTATGTAGCGTTTTTTATTGCTTTCATATCTGATAAATTCTGCAATTTCCAATGCATCATCAGCTATTTACACGGAGTATGTCTAGCAATAACAAACATGTATAGGGGAACACAAACCTTTTTATTGAGCATCGTTTAGCTTGAAATATAAATGGCCTCTTGAGGTCGCATTCATGAATCCGCGTCGGGGAGTGAAGCGCAGCTGGACAATTCATATAATCCAACAGTTGTATCTATACATTTTTCTAACAAGAACGAATGAAGACCAAGTGGAAAGCTTTGATCAAGCACTACCCTGAAACTTGGGTGTGTCGAAAACCGCATTGTCAGCATCGAATGACCCATTTACACAACAAATACATGTTTAGCAGAATTGACTCCAATGAAATCTTTAGACTTCTAAACCCCGTGTTCTGTCTTCGTATTTGTCCAGAATTTTACACGACTATTTCAATTTTACTATCTTTATTATACTACTTACATGTAAAAAATTTGAAGTGACTTCGATACCTCATTTGTTTTTATTAGAAGCGTGCTTATTATGATAAGAGAAAAGGATAAAGTTGATTCCCTTGGAATTACTGGCCCATCATCTAAAAGGTAGAAAACGCGGCTTAGACGATAATATGCTCCTGTTCGGTATGGTTATAGAAAATGCAAGTATAATCACTTTAGGTTGGAAATACGCGTAAAATAACTTTGGAGGGTGCTTCCGCATGTGAAGCTCTTCCAGAAGCTGCTCTTCCCTCGAGAAGTGTTGTTCATACAAAGGAACTTCCACCGTTTGTCCAACATCAGGAAGTTACGACGAGAGTTGAAGCTTTATGGTAGTATCTCCTCCCCATCTCAGTGGCGATCCCAGGTCCGATCATGGGGAAGGGGACAAAAAAGTGAATGAA